GTACGTACTTATTGTTCCATATTATATGCATCCCTGGCTTAGGTTCGGCAATATTTTGTGATTTTTGGAACTCTGCCCAGTGACTAAGAATTTCACGATAAAAAATAGGTATCTTGACTGAGAGCGAGTCAATCGAATAATTACAATTCATAAGCAAGGCCAGCCCTCCCAATTTATTAAAATAATGGTTTGGAAAATTAGACCAGAATGATTGAATGACCTGTACATTGATTTATATCATGCATGATGGCCTAAAAATATTATACCTCTATAAGCCGAGATAAACCGATAATTTATAGGAGCTTGGTATAAACATATATAAAAAATGCAGATATTTTAAATAGAAAATATTGTGTGGATTTTGAAAATTATTTTGTGATCATGCCTGCAAACCGCATTTATATATTTGGCTTTGTCAAATGATTCACCAATTAGATAGATAGAAAGTGTGGATTGAGGGCGCGCCGATTGATATACGAGTATACAATATCACGTAATGTATGGTTCTTCTAAATGTTGAGGGCAATACCAAAATCTACACAATAAATATAATTCTTATATTATTAGTCACGTAGATGTTATTGGTAGTGACACGTTTTTGATCCCATTGTATAACGATTCAAAACACATACAATTTTATAAACATATACATGTCTTGCTCATTGCCCTGGATAATGGGTTGTTATTAACTAATAAAAAAAAACATGTTAAATGTTCATTTGTAAAAAAAGGGACCAATTATTATCGTCACCTTTGTGTTATTATCATGTAAATAGTGAGTAGGTAATGCTCATAAACATTGAAATAATTGAAATAACTAGTCGCATTGTCAACATAACATCTATTGGAGAAATTTCAATTCAGTTGGAATAAAATATAGGCAGATATTATTTTTGGGACACAAGTGTGACAATGCGATTGATCATAAAAACTTATTTCAGCACCGTCTTCAGTGTAATCGTATGTCGGTGACCATTATCCCCCTAATAGTTAGCGTGGACGAATGTAAGAGTGTAATTGTAATTTTCTTTTTTTTCTTTTTTTGCTTACACGCCAGTTAATTGTACCAAGTATTTTACATAAAGCTAAAGTCCCGACAGCAGTTAGATGATGACTGAATAAACAAGCCTGAAGATGCAGGAGGAAATATACATCTCAACTACTTTATATTATTATCACTGACAGTGAGATTTGTTCTGTGCTGAGGTGATGGGACATTTCCAATTAAAAATATGGACAGAGCTTCATAGTCATAATCAATATAAAATTTCAATATATTCGGAATGAAGTATGTAGTTGTATGTAGTTGGATGCATTCAAAATAATTACATTATACCAAACCTTATACCAACATTTTTCATTTGCAGTGATTATATTATTATATTATATTGACACAAACGCTGCATAAATCGTAAACATTGAGGATTTGTTTATTCATTTCTAAATCGTGATTTCCTGCTAGACAGAATTTTGTCAACCGACTGCATAGTTGGATCGTCAGACCTGGAGGGCCAAGAAGGGCCAAGAAAACGTCAGATAATCGAATAAATGTGAACAATAAACGAAAAATTAATCGTGACAGAACTTGTCTTTGTCACAAATATATACAAATTGCCAGAGGAACAGGAAGTTCAGCACTCAGAATCAATTGAGTGTGTATTCAATCATGTATTCTTGATAATTTCGTTAGCCAACTTGTTTTTCTTCAAAATTAGACCCACGGTCAAGTATATATAGCAACACAAGTTGTTGTCATGTAATTATTTTTTCCCGTGAGCAAGCTGACAGCGTCCTTAAAACAAAGCCGAGAACACACATTTAAAGCAGGGAGTAGTCACCTGCGCATGCGTCAGCAGCCATGGCATGTCATTGTTTACAAACAAGCGTCGCGAACCGCTAATCCAACATCTAAACAAAGTTCTAAAAACCCAAACACGGTAATGATCGACAGTCCTATATTAAGACCGAGCGTCTCTCCGATGTCACCAAGTATTTTTCTTCAATATGCGAGATATGCGAACCGCTTATCCAACATCTGAACAAAGTTCTAAAAGCCCAAACAAGGTGATGATCGACAGTCCTATAAATCTGAAAAAATAAACGATATGAACAAATGCATTATCAACACATTCACATTTTTAAAAAGGCCAATAAAATTACAGAGGTTAACGTTTTTTTCGAAATACGAAAACAAACTTGCTATCCGCTTACCACGTATGTCTCATCCCCACGATTGTGTAGGTCATGTTCTCAAAGTGTACTGATAAACCCAACAAACTTGAAATAAATAAATGCAAAATAAATAAATGCAAAAACCCTTATTGACCATGAATACAAGATTACCCACAGTTTTAACCAACGACCATGGCAAAGCGTCTTCTCACACTAAGAACTTATGCGAATACCGTGTAATAAACACAGACCTACAGATGTACAGGAGCAAGCCATATCACTGACGTCACAGCAAACTGCTTTCAAATAAGGCAGAATATTCCGGAATATATTTTGTGCTACATACCATCACACAATACAAGATATAGTAAAAACGTTCCGTATCCTGTTCACCTAATTAGACATGTTTTCTATGAGCTTAGGGAAAGTATTGCCTTCCAAGGCGCATCGTGGCATTACCTCGCATTTAGAATTACCGAGTATTATGTTTCATTGCAAACTGTTTGAATAGAAAGATACAATTATTAGTAATGATCATGACATACTGTACTTACTGAACAACTTCCATGTTCCAGATTGTTTAGGCCTTTTCATTTGTCAGGTGTAAATATTTCAGAGGCGTTACCTGAGTTACGCAGTATTCCTTATTAACTGTTTTATGCCTCGGGACTATTTGCATAAAATAATTCAAGATACGGAGATCAACTCAATAACCTACTTACTAGGTAACTTTTTGACAGCAAATTTTATTGTGATAGAGTTTACTGATATATTGTTTCACTACACAACAAGCACAAGAGACACAAAACAATACTTGGATT